GACCAGTTGGGCCAGTCACTAGTGCGTTCATTATCACACTCCTCCCCCCCTCCCCACACGCCCAAGCCCCCACCCCTCCAAAAGGGGCGTGCAACTGAACCTGCCCCTCCTGGAGGGGCAGGTTTGATCACACGCCCCTCAGAAGTAAAGACGGCCTTGCAGTACCCGTTGGGTGGTACCCGGGACCCGTTGGCGGGTACCGCCTTCACTCCTCCGGTACCCGGCAACAGGCCCCGGGTGCGGTACTTGGTGTATGTTTTTGGCCAAAACCAGACCCGGTACCCGGGTACTGCCTCAAGCCACCTGTATTAAGCCACCCGATGACCAGGTACCCATCCAGTCCCAGGGCATAGGGTCGAATATCAGTGGTCCCAGGCACCAACTGTATCCAACCCGCACACCACCACCCACCCCAGGTCGACTGACCTACACCAACCCACCATGCCACCCCGCACACGATTAAAACCCCATGCCACACACGATCAGGATTGCCCATCGGACACACCTTCTCCTCCAGATCAACCGCACGACGATAACAATAAGGACGTTGGCCGTACATCGTCTGAAGAGCCAATCTAACCATCCGTTGACCGATGCAGAGGAGTTAGGTGAGTCTTTCCTTCTTCATTGATCAACCTTGCTCTCTCACTTTCCCCACTTGTTCCTCTCCTGCTACCTCGCTCGATCCTCTTCCGCTTTGCTTGCTCGCTCACTACTCACTCCCTTTCCTTCTGCTACCTCTGTCAGCCTAAGTGATGCCAAGAACTGGTATTCTTCTAGCTACACTGGGTGCAAAAGTAAATAAGAGGTGTACACATGTGGGCAACACGTGAAAAGTGGGTAGAAGTGTGGTAATAAAAGAAAAGTAAATAAAAACTGTTAAGTTTTTTATTTACAGAGGGGCCTGAGTTACAGGGGTTTTTAAGGTGCCCTCTAATATCAGGTCCTGGGTTACAGGGGTGGTACTGATGTTCTGTTCCTTTGTAATAAAGGAGTATGCCCAGAAATAGCCTACAACTGAAGAAACAAAGAAATAATACTTACTAATACTTATCTCTAAGCCAAGGAAGTCTTCAGGAGGGGGGAACTGTTCTTGAAGCGCTCAGAAAGGTGAGTGAGAGATGTTGGAGGAGTGCTGGGTAACAGGTGTTGGTTGGTTGATGGAAATTCAGGTTGATAACAGCAGGAACAGGGCCAATGGGCAGTTTGGAAACTGGTTGTTGGTGACGGTTTATGCTGGTAAGTAAAGATGAAGATGGGGAAACAAAGTTCAGGGGGAAGAAGGGGCTCTTAAGTAACCATTCTGGGCCTCTGGAGGCGAACTCAGGAGTCTCTCTAGTTGCTACAACTCTCCTACTAAGCCTATGGGAGCTTTTGATCATCTGTAGCACCTGTAGAGCTTGGTTACAGGTGCCAAGGAGATGATGTAATGCTTGTAACCATGTTTACAGGGTGTTCTGACGAAACTGTAACACTCCTGCCGCCTATGTAAGCACTGCATGATGCATGGGTTGATCTTCAAGAGAGTAATTGTCCCAATTGGGCCAAAAAGGGCCACAGATCATCCCAAACAGTTTAATACTGTAGTCTGTGCTCATGTAGTTAAGGTTTCAATGATTTAAACCTTGTTTGTAGATTTTTCCCGAACTGCATGAACCTTAATTACACATTTAGCCCCCTTACAACATGTAGTATGATGTAACTGGAGGGGTCCACAGTGTATTTTGGCCCAATATCACTCAAGGACTACAAAGTAAGTGAAGGAGTAATAATTCAGGGGTACACTTGGTGAGCTACCCTAGGTTATTTTGCATGTAGATTCAGAATCTGCAATAATATTCTGAGTTATACTTAAGGTTCAGAAGTTATTAGGAGATTCTGGTTAAAATGTTATTTTTTATTATTTATTTAATTATTTAAATGTTTTTCTGTTGAAATGTTACAAGTAGACTGTGTAATAATATCTCTATTATAGTGTTTCAACTTATTTAAATATTATATTGTATTATTTAATGTATGTACATATGTAAGTAATAATATCTCTAATTATATGTAAAATGCTAT